GGACAAAAATTAAGAAAAAGGCTGTTAGATATCGAGTTAAAACTTGCAACTTTGCAATAAATAACAGGTTATGATGTCAAAAATGAAAGTTCAGAAATCCACTAATACCTACTAATGGGCATTTGCTGAACTATATAAAGAGGTTGAACCATGGGAAAGTGCACAATTAAGTTTTCTGTTTAAAACTCTACTGCGTAAATGTTAAGTCCTAGAGAGTGCTGAGGATGTCTGTGAGTAGAGAAGGGTGAGAGACAGCTGGCTTTGTAAAGCTGTTTTAAGAAAAGTCCAAAGGCCCGAATACCTCTTCTGGGGAGAAATCATTTTATGTTTTGTGATGCATCAAGAGCTAGCAACTGATGGTAAAAAATAACTTTGAATGTAAACTTTAAAATTATTTAAAAGTTAACAAGCATAGAAGCTGTGCTTTGCATAGAACTGAAGTTTAGTTCCTAGTATTATAATTCATTACTTGTAATGTTAAGTGGCCCTAAAGTGGAACTTACTCATAAAACTGAAACATCACCCTTCTGCTGAGAAAGTGGAATGGCTGTCCACGAAAAGCATGCCAAATGCTGTCTTGCTGCTCATGTCAAAAAATGTTAACATTATAGTTTAACATGCCATCAAAATTTATGAAACCAAGCTAAAGCTGTCAAAAATGAATAAATAAACTATACCGTGTGATGCATCAGCTGCAATTTATTTGTACTGATCGCAATCAGCGCAGACCACAGCCTGCTCCTCCTCTGCCTCCTTGACATCTGGACTAGATGGGGAAAAGCCATTCCATGCTCCGCAGCTTGGCAAAACCCAAGCTGTAACCAACTCATAGCATCTCTCCTAAGCTTTCATGTGGCCTATGGGTGGGCTCCCAGGCCCCTTGGGGAACTGCTGTCCCTCCACATAACACACACACGGCAGGGCTTATGTGAAGTTTCCCTGCCTGGACACAGCTACCATGTAAGGTGCATAGATAAGTTTGAATTTGAACTTGTCTTCTGAGCTAATATCATTTAAACGGTCATTTGAGACATACAGATACCGTAGCACTTGAGCTCAGCTGTCACTGATGTGTAAAAGGATTGTTACAACAGAAGTCAATGCCACAGTGAGACATCAAAGCTGATAACCTAAACAAATCTAGCTGAGGACATGGGGGTCTTTTGTTTTGTTTTCCCCAAGGAAGAGCAGTTTTCTCAGGAGCAGGCGTTTTGTAATCTTTACCACAGGGATGTCAATCCTTTCAAAAGCAAGGTTTTCATCTTCAGACCCTCCTTTGCAAACAGGAGAGCCACACACAGACTTATTTGTGCCCGAGTACCCCCTCTACACAATGGCACTTCTGAGCTTCCCAGGGATGTTGAGGAAAGGATGTTTACAGGCTCCTGTGGTGCTCGGAGATTACAGTAATCAATGCTGTAAATAATGATGTAAATGCTCTTTTCTGAGAAGCAGTTATACGACAGCCTAGAAAATGCCATTAGGCTTGGGGTTGCCGTGGCCAGCCACAGATATCATCCAGGCGTGATGACTTCTGCTCAGAGTAAATCTAGGTAACATGCATGCACTAAATCAGACCAGCCATCCACCCAGGAGGCAAATTAACCAGGCTGATCCCTAATGGGAGCTATATATCATCTGTAACTGCTGTGCGTTGTTGTAGCCTCTGGACATGGCCATAAACCAACTGTGCAAATAGCACTGCCCTCAAAATGAGAAAGCAGAGTCCCAGAAGGATGGCATTTATTTTTGTTTTGTAATGGGACTAAAATGGGGTGTCTCGAAATGCAAGTGAAATATCATTTCAGAACAACCACTAAGCTCAGATGGTGTCCTGACCATTAAACTGTAGGATAACTGAGGAGACTTTTTCCTTCTGTTTTAGCCAGAAATTCCCCCCTGACTTGAAGAGACCAATACTCTTCCACAGAAAGCTTTCACTCAGTGCTTTCAGTTTTCTAGCCCCCTTTCAGCCCCACCCCCCCAAAAAAATTGCAAAAAAATCCAAATGAGAACTTTGGGAGATCGTAGATTTTTATCTCATACCTACCATTGAGATCTGGAACACCATGCAGAAGAAAAACTAATAATTAATTCCATTAATATGTTTTTACTGTGAAAATTGAAATACTTTATGCAGGCCTGACCTGAAAAAGTTTAATTATTGCATGTAAGAAAGTATTAGCAGTACATACCAAGAGAAAATATTTCCCAGAGCAGAATGCCGTAAGACCAGACATCACTTAATGTTGTGTACAGATTGTCAAAAATGCTTTCAGGTGCCATCCACTTTACTGGAAGGAAAGTCTGTGGCAAAAAGAAATAAACCCCAAATCCCACAAATTAATCATTAGAGAAATATTTTCCATTACAGTAGCTTATTGACAACAAGAATTAACATCTCCCTAATAAGAAAATGTGCTACCTTTGCTAGTATTTATTTTTAATTCTATATAGCACGCTGAGGTTCTGGGATTATAAGCAATGTTCCAATGCTCTCCCTAGAAAAAGTAATTAAGACATGACTGTGTTCATTTTACTACTAGTCAATAACCAGGTTGGATGCAAAGGGTGGCAGCTCTGATCTAGATCTAATGTGTCATTGATTGATGTGTTATTACTGTATATATCGCAGTGACAGTTCCTTAATAATTTATGCAGTCATGTAACTTGCCAGTTAAAGTGTAAGCATGTGAAGTACTAAGTGTGGCCAAGCACTTTTCATCATTCAAGCAGGCAAAGGAAAGTTACGTGAATTAATGAAGTGGAGAAAAATTGTTCTCAAGAGTTTTCATCCCAACTGTCAATTACTGTGACCAATACTGAATGGCAAGAGCATTAAACGGCATTTAAAACTGACACTTCTCATTTCAATTAAAGCAGAGCTCAGGAGATTAAGAAGTACATACACTGCCCTTGGAGACGTAGTTGGAATCATGCATGATGTCTCTAGCCAGGCCAAAGTCACAGATCTTCACAATTTTTCCTTGAGCCAGGAGGACATTACGAGCTGCCAAGTCACGATGTACACACTGTATGGAGAAAAATTAAGTCATTCAAGGACATGCTAGTTCCACGAGGGCCGTTTCTCTCATAAAGTTTTCTGAAAAAGTCCACATTTATTGACTTTCTTGGCACAGGATTAACAAGGCCTTCTACTAAGCAGGTACCTTGAGCGCTAGCAAGGGCAGAGAGAAAGAGAGGGAGCTCGTGCAGATTTACCACGGTGGGGAGCAGGTAGAAGATGTGCCATCCTTTCCTCGCTACCCACCATGTGCTAATGACACGGCTCTGTTTTGGACCAGGCTGGCCCTGTGGTTGTTCAGACCCTGACGAGATCCACCACTTCTGGCACCCTGACGATCAAGGTCATGGGCTGCAGTGGTAGAAGAAGACGGCTGCTCTGATTCTTTCTAGCCATGGTGAACTTGGTTTCTGAACAAGTGAGAAAGCCACCTAGCACCCCAATAGACTTCTACTTTGTGCTGTGTCTTCAAAATCTAAATCAAAACTCTAGGTTGGAGGTGAAGATATTTTGGCACTTTCTTGCATTTTTTACTTACATTTTATTTGCTTTTTGTTTACTTACATTTTTAGAGGCCAAGAATTCCATTCCCCGTGCAACTTGGTAGGTGAAGCTCAGCAAATCCAGCAGGCTGAGGCCTTCTGAACTGTCATCTGAAAGAAGGTTTTTGACTTCTGATTCTGATGAAAAAGCAAGAAAAATGTTTGTGCTACAAGAGTAGAGAGTGTGAAGCAACACCCATTCCCTTCACCTCTCATAATTCTGGCCTGATGACTTTAACAGATTACCATGACCAAAACAGGCTTTTCATAACAAGTAACCACTTTCCATGTCTGCATCAGTCACTGACAAATACTGCATTCTTAACAAAAAAAATCCAATATTAAAAACAGGTTCTGTTTTTTAATCTGTCTACATTTTTTTTTCCAGAGAATTGTGAGAAAACATGAAGATAAAAATGCCCACTAATGTGTTATATGGGTTGTTTATAATGCTCAGCATGGGGTTTAAAAACATTTATTTAGAGGTGGTAACTTCCTTAGAGTTTTATGCATGCATATACACTTTTATCCATTTACTTTTGCTGAACACTGTTATGTTTCCCAGCAAGTATTCACTGGGACTAATCCAATACCAGCAAAAAGGGGTCAGGAATTCTATGGCAATAGTTCTATTTTTCTTACGAAAAATCTCAGCAAAAGCATTCAAAATTCAGTGATTCATTTACCCCTACTGTCCCAGGGCATGAGTACATTAGTCTGCCATGTAAATCTGGGTCTGGATATGCTTCAGTTCCTGAGGCTTAGAGCCAGACGTGACTGTGCCTATTTTTAAAGCAAAGCATATTTAATTTCTGAAAAAGGGACAGGGATTGGGATGCATTCATTATCTTCATTACATAATTCAGGAAAGTATTTGAGGGTGTTATCCATTTGGTAAGTGTTAGGATGAAATGTAAGTGGAAACAGCAATATAAATTACTATTATTGCTCAAAATCCTGCAAAATACAAGACAGCAGTAAAATCACTGCCTCCAAAGACTGTGTCTGTAGCCATACTGTATAATATAGCCCTTCCATACTTCAGTGTGGGAACAAAGACAGAACTCTATCCCTTCTGCTTCAGAAGGAGCATGTGCTCCTATCATCAGATATCATGATGCATGAGCATGATGAAAACCAAGAGTATAAGCTTTCAGCTTGTAGTTTATACTCATATAATTCTATACTCACATCTTTGCAGCACACGGTGGTTGAAGGCCCTACCAGAGAGCTCAAAGATAAGACATAACTCTATGCAAGAATTATTGGTATAAATGATGAATGCAGAAGAGGCAGTTCAGTTACCTGACATAGATTTCTTCTTGTATGAAGCAGGGCGATCATACACAGATCTCTGGATATCTGAGTATTTAGAGCCTTCCTTCCTTTCCAGCATCGGCACATACTGAGTTGTATCAGCTTGTTTCATGTCCATGTATTCTCCAGTGTTTTCAAAAGATAAAATCACATAACTAAAATTGGAAAAAA